TTTAAGGGTATTACACAGAAACATACCAAGGGAACATGAATCAAATATGCACTTTTATTCATTTACAATAAACTCATAAAGTACATCATTCTGATTGATGCTAAGGGCCTACAAAACTGTCTAACAGCAGCACCTTCCTTGCAGTTGTCTTGTTGATGCTGCTGTTGTATATTTACCATTGCTAGCCGCCCATGCCTTCCAGTCACAAGTCTCTCTCCCCCCCCCCTCTCTCATTCACAAGGGTTCTGTGTGCCTTCTCTGGCCCTCTATCTCTTGGTTTCTCTATCAGTTAAATCTTTTTTAAGGTATTGTGTTTTTTAACATGTTACAAATTAAATGTTTCAGTTGATTGGTCTAAAATTGTGACCTGTGAACAGTTCACATGTTCGGTTGTCCGGGTTGATGATTTTTTGGTCACGTTAACGAGTAGTTGAACTTACTGTGTTTGGGGTAAAATGGGCATGCCTTTTGGTGATTCGTTCACTACTCCAATCATCAGGATTAACAATGGGTTTTAAACATCGAATATATTATATCTATAAATATTATTTTATTATTTTCCCTAGATATAAAAATCACGATTAATACACACATGCTTGTTATGTTATTATATTATTTATCCTTTTATAAGTTATTTAGTTATTGTTGGCTTTGGCCATGGTTTGTTAAGTTATGTATAATTAAAAATGTTTCCTAAAGTAAAATAAGAAGGAAAAAATCATATATAATTATAGATTTAAAAAAGAAAAAAAAAGGTTTAAAGAGAAAAACACATGAAAATATTTTATTTTAATGATATTTATTTATCTAAATTTAAAGTATCAGATTGGTATAATTAAGATAGAAAAACATGTTCAAAAGAATATAAATGATTTAAAAGCTTTCTGGAAATATCTTGTGAAAATGTTAGGAAATTTTTAGACATTTTAAACGATGGTTTTATCATACAATGTGTTCTCATTCTAGGCTTGAGAAACATGGCAGACATCAAAAGAGAGGGAGAGGGGTATAGCAGGCAGGTATTTTGTAGTATATAAGGAGGCATTAAATTGTAGTAGGCATCTGAAAGTTATTGGTAGGGTTGCAACTTGTGAAGGATTGGGTTGGGAATTTGTTAAGATTTGAATGGGCCCCAATCGGTTCTTCTAGTTATTGGGTATGGGTAGTCGCCTGATACCCTCAAATAGGAGTTAATTCTCCACAATCTGAGAAGAGATCTTGATAGAGAGGGAACATCAGTCTTTTCTTGTCAAGAAGTAGCGGAAACCAGTTGGAAGTGGATGTTAGATGTGATGGTGGGTATTTGCTGAAGGTGGATGTTGGTGTTCGGGTTGGAATAGTAAAGGTCAAGGAGAAGGATGCTTGTGCCTTTGTGGTGTAGTTGAGTTCTGCTCTGATGACTGGAAACTTGGGCAATCTTGGAGAAAGGTTAGTTTGTGGGTGGTAAAAAAGCTTCAACATGAGAGTTGTAGGGTTTTGGGGTGAGATGGAGGGATTTCTATCTTCTGAACATGAAATGGATCATGGTGGACGTCATGATATTGGTGTTGATCATTGCCTGTACTTGAAGAGGAGGTGGGTGGCAATGATTTGATGGGGGTTCAAAGAAAAAGCATTAAAGCTTAAGTTGCGGCCTCAGTGGCCCAGGATTCCAAAAGAAAAATCAGTAAAAGATGCTTAGTAATTCCCTCATTGGGAAAACAATTTTGGATTAATTAAATACTTTGTAGGCAGGAAAATGAAACCACTCATCTTGTTGCTAAATTTTATTTATATTTTTAATTAATGAAATAGATGACTACTCTCAAATAGGGGAGTCAACTAATATTGATATTCTCCTGAAACATCCATTTCCCATAGCCAATGAATTACTTAAATCTGCGCTCTCTCAAAGACCTGTTGGAGTATTCAATATTGTAGAAATTTATGCCATTTCTTTTTTTAGCAGATTTCTAAGAGTACATCTCAGAGTGATGAAATTCTTGGTTATAAATTGGAATATTTCTGCTCCATTTTTCTATAGAAAATTATGTTTGTTTTCCATAATTACTGTTGTTCACAAATCTCGGCCATCTTGGTTAATGATCTGCACACATAATTTGTCATTTTGCATTCATAATATTTCCTCCCAAATGAATGTGTAATTAGCAATAACTGGGTTTGTAGTCTCTTGAACTTTCATGTCTGCTTTTCTATGATGGATGACCAGGGCATCCTTTATATGTAGAAGAAGAATCTATATTTATTTTGCAGAAGCATTGATCACTGCATGTAGCTTTTATGATTAGGATTTGTTTGCTTCCTACAGCCATTCATAAATTTCTTTGGATGTTAGGATGCTTTCTTCTTTGAGTTATATATTTGAACTTACGTAATATGCTATTTGGAATGTCATTTAGGTTGGTGCTTTAGAAGGAAATGAGGAGTTAACACCTCTTGGGTATCATTTGGCAAAGCTTCCTGTTGATGTACTGATCGGAAAGGTTCATATGTGACATCTCTTCCACTCATCACTTTCCTCAAAATGAACTGTAATTTGGGAATTGTTGAGATATTTATTTCATGTTTTTATGGTTTATCATTTACTATTTTTTCTGTTCTTTTAGAACTTAGAAGGGGTGCATGGCCTGCACTTTTGGCCATTCCTCAACTCTTCTCTTCTCTTCTGTTTTCTTCCTTGCTTTATTTTTCATATTGCCAATCAAATAAAACTATGTTTGATAAAATAAATTTACAATTCTGAGTTTCAACAACTTCTCAAGTGGAAGCAAATGCAAATAATAGTTTATTTTTTTACCATGGTTCAAGCTTGATCTTTATACTGCACTTTCTACTTTCCTATTCGTTTCGAAACATTTTTACCCTACTCATGCTGACCACTTTGTATTTGGATGGTATCAGTTTATACTTGCATATATCTCTACTGAACAATTTGTTGTTTAGTCACTTGTAACACAACCGATTTTTGTATGTTCTGTATTGTGATTTTGATATATACATGTAAGTACAAGAAATTTTAATTATTTTTCATCTTGGAATCACTATCCTGGTTTAGGTGTTTGATGATTTCCATTTCCTTTTTTCCCTTTACGTAGTAAAGTTCTTTTGATCTTGTCACTGAACACACATTCTTTTGTCGAAGCCTAAGATATTATTTGTTAGAAACTCCCAATTTAGTGGTTCAATTTCAAGTAACACCTCACATTCTTTTTATTCCTGCAGATGATGTTATATGGTGCCATATTTGGTTGCTTATCACCAATCCTTTCAATTTCAGCATTTTTAAGCTATAAGTCACCTTTTGTGTATCCAAAAGATGAGGTTAGATTCTTAAAACTACCTTACGATTTGAATATTCCTTATTTTAAATTGTAAAACTTACGCCAAATCTCCTAATTCTAGAAACAAAATATAGAAAGAGCAAAGATTTCACTATTGACAGATAGGCTAGATGGTACAAGTGGTTCAGATGAGGGTGAGAGGCAGTCTGATCACCTGCTAATGGTTGTTGCATACAAAAGATGGGTGAAGATTCTGCTTGAGGTTAGAAAGCTAAAATCTATTATGTGAGATAATATATAATATTTCCTTTATTATAATATATTAGAGTTCCAAGAAGTTAAAATACAGTACAATTTATATTAGAGATAATTGATTTCTTGAGGGAAATATTGCTTATATGTATATACTGAACATAATATTTTTGTATAAACTATTACTAGTACAAAATATGTATGATATGGTTTTGTTCTATGAATTAATGGGTGCTAATGGAATAAAACCTATTATTGCAGAAAGGAGCAAGAGCTGCACAAAACTTTTGCAATTCATATTTCTTGAGCAGTTCAGTTATGTACATGATAAGGTTTAGATTCGCCCCTGAACTCCTATGCATATAAACTAACAAGTTAACTTCTGTTTGTCTTATTTTTTGAAGACATTTCCATACTATGAACTGTGAGACCATCTTATAACCAACTGAGTTTAATATGCTAAACTTCAAAAAAAAGCATCTAGTTTACCTATGGTGGATTCAACTTCCACTTCCAATTTACTATTCCCTCTTTTTATATTGAGTCATCTATTGATTTAACCTTGACTTTCGTTCTATTCTCTTTTAGAGGTTGACAAACTTTTTTCTAATTGTACTGCACTTAAAGAATATCACATGGGGTTATGCAGTATTTGGTTGGACGGAAGTACTTTAGATGCCTTATTCAATACGAATTTAGAAAATGATGCAAGAAAAGTTGAGGCTCAGTACTTCAACTGTATGACGAGTAGGCTGTAAACCAGCTGAAGTTTATCCAAAACATGTATTCAACAAATTTGAAGCTAATTAAGCTTATTAATAGGACAATGGCAATAAAAAAAATGTCAGATTACTGAAGGTCAGCTTGATTACTTGAGAGCAACAATTTGTCACAAACCAAATATGAATAGGTTTACTCTGCCGAAAATGGTTACATGCTGTAAATAGGGTTGCATTTTATTGTTATTTTATTATTGTATTGTATTGTTGAGTCACATTGTATTAGAGTAGGATGTATATAGGCTATCTTGTGACTTGTCCACATAACAAGGGGAATTTATGTAATTTTACATAGATTTTGCCCTATTCAATTAAACATGCTCTTTAGGGGTGGGGGTATTCATTCAATACACTCTGCATGAAATCCTAGAAGGGTAACATGGTCTCAGAGCCATGGTTCATGCTAGTATGTAAGTGATTTGAAGGACCGAGATAAGCGGTTCATTCTGCTCTAGGTTTCTTACTGTTACTGTTCACGCAATACTATTCATACCAAGTTGAGTGGAGCTGTTTAGATCCTTGTGAGAAGTCTGCTTTTTGATGACGATTTAGTAGGGGGTATTTTAAGAAAACTATTGTATATAATTTTTAGGGCACCTTTTTGGTTTCTATTGTGATTTCTTTTTTTAAGAGAACATGAATCTTGTTTTCCATTCTGTTTTGTTTAATGCCATATCAATTGTTATATTATGAGCACAATCATTTCTTACTACTTGGATCCATGTCCTTTTTGGTCTACCTCTAGTCCTACTAGCCCCTTGAATTTGCAACAGATCACTTCTTACGGGTTCTGTTGATGGTCTTCTATGCACGTGACTAAACCATCTGTCTACCTTCTCTCATTTATTTGGTATGGATTTCAGTTTTAATATTTTGATCAACAGGTGGATTTGGAATTGAGTTCCAAGGAAGGGATGTGAAGTAACTGGTAAATGCATGGAGGTTTTTTGTTGGTATGGGTCATTGTTGTTTGTGCTGGGATAAGATCAACTTTATACTCACATTTGTGAGACTCTAAAATTGTTGTTGTTTGGATCCACATATTTGTTTCTTGTAACCTAGGCCTAAGAAGGGGATGGATAAACTCTAAAATTCCCAAGCTTGTGAAGCTGTTAGAAACTCTAAAGAGGTCTCTTTCATTACTTCCTGAGGTTGATGAGAGAGTTTGGGTTCCAGTGTTAGTGGCTCTTTCTCATGTTTTATCACAAATCCAACCTCACACTCTTTTTCAGTTAAAGCCTAGTGGGCTGGTCTTCCACCTCCTAACGTCAAGGTATTTTGTTGAGAGACAGCTCACTCATTTCCAGCTAAAGCCTTGTGGTCTGGTTTTGCACCTCCTGAAGTCAAGGTATTTTGTTGTGTAGAGGAGATGGGCCGAATGGCCCATAGGCTGTCATTCTATGTTATGTTTATGTTTTCCTCTATAATGGGCCTTATTCTGGGCCCATACTCTTATATACTCTGTTTTTGTAATTTCTTGCCCACCCAAGGGCCTCTCTGTAATAATTCAAAGATT